GCCCCCCCTGAGCCGTGCAGCCCGTGCCCCGCCCCGCGTCCCGCCGGCGCCGAGGCGGCTGTGTCCCCAGCCCTCGTCCCACTCCACCCCCGGTCGACCCGTCCCCGCCCGAGAGGAGGAGCCAAGGCGAGGGGGAGGAGGAAGAGGAGGGAGAGGTTTGCGAGAGGAAACGAGGCCGCTCTAGCCGCCGGCGGTTCGTATTACCGGGGTCGGGAGGAGGAGCTGGGCCGGACCGCGGACCAGCGCTGGGCCGGCGGCAGGCTGGAAGGAGCCGGAGGCGGCCCGGCCGCAAGGAGGCGGGCGGGAGGCCGAGGGTGCAGTTAGGGTGGGGACTCCCCCCATCTCTGCAGCCCTCCTCCCGGGTCCTGGTACCAGGCCTCACCTGCCCTCAGGGAGAGAGCCGCCTGTCACCGGAGGAGGAGCTGGGCCGGACCGCGGACCAGCGCTGGGCCGGCGGCAGGCTGGAAGGAGCCGGAGGCGGCCCGGCCGCAAGGAGGCGGGCGGGAGGCCGAGGGTGCAGTTAGGGTGGGGACTCCCCCCATCTCTGCAGCCCTCCTCCCGGGTCCTGGTACCAGGCCTCACCTGCCCTCAGGGAGAGAGCCGCCTGTCACCCAGGGCCGTGCTCGGGCCGGTGCAGGGGTAGGTGGAGACGCAGGGTTCTGGGGTGTGCGCGCGGAGGCCTGGACCGCGCGGCCAGGTGATGGTGGGCCCCTGTGCCTCTCCAGAGGAAAGAAGACCCCCAGAACAGCCGTGTCCCCGGGCTGTCCCTGTGAGCGTTTTGACATCGGCCCTAGGGAAGCTGGGCAGCCCTGAGTCTGCCCGTCTGGGTTAAGTGCCCTTAGGATGCAGTGGCCAAGGAATTAGGCTCTCCCTCCGGGAAGGGCACAGCTTGTGCTCTCGAACTCGGTGCAGAGCAAAGGGACGGAATGATGCTGTCCGAGCAAGCCCAAAAGTGGTTTCCAACCCACGTGCAGGTGACAGTGCTCCAAGCCAGAGAACTGAAGCCAAAAGGCAAAAGTGGCACTAATGACACATACACTATAATTCAGCTGGGTAAAGAAAAGTACTCCACCTCTGTAGCTGAGAAAACCCTTGAGCCAGTCTGGAAGGAAGAGGCCTCCTTTGAGCTACCTGGATTGCTCATGCAGGGGAATCCAGAGAAATATGTTCTTTTCCTCATAGTTATGCACAGGTCTCTAGTGGGTCTAGATAAATTTTTAGGGCAGGTGGCAATCAATCTCAATGACATCTTTGAGGACAAACAAAGGAGGAAAACAGAGTAAGTTACGTAATTTATTTTGAATTTGGGGGAGCTTAAGTATATCTTATTTACGGATTTTCTGTTCTTGGAAATTATTTGTATGCTCCGGGCATTGGTTTTTGGACTGAAAGATGACCCAGTTTAAAGCACCATATTTGCATGAATCAGAAGTAAAAATAGTCCTCCTGATGAAACATTTTTAGAATGCAGTTATTAATGACCCATTATTCTCTCATTTCTGTTTGAAGTAAACAGCTGTTCAATAATTGAATATTTTACTCTGGATCTTAAGTAGATTAACCTTATTTTAGTCTTTGTAAGAGGACTGGATCACAGGGTTGAGCAACTAAAACTTAGAAATTGTTATCTTTAAACATTACAATTTTCTATGAAATGGAAGATAAGAAAATTAAATCTGCCAATGAAATGTTTATAATATGTTGAACATTGTAGCTCTCACAAGATAAATTGTGAGCTTTAGAACTCATAATTTATAATTTCAGCATTATAAGCAGAGCCTTTATTTTGCTTCAGCCATTTTTCAGGGTCAGTACATCTTGAAGTCTTAAGCTATTAAAAGAAAAAGTTTAAAAAGTTTGTACAAACATCCTCAACCATGAATGCACTGACTTTTCCTTTGATTTTGCAGTATATCAGAACTATTTCAGAATTAGTTCTACAACTCTAGGTTATTTAGGCCATATTAAATGTTTTAGGATTGAGGATGATGGAGTCTTGAGACAAAATCATTTAATGACATCTTCACTGAAAATATGGCCTTTTTAGTAGGACTTTTGAGATTGAATCAGGTATATTTTAATTAACATTAGGTTTATATTTTAAGTTTTTAAAATAGTATGTTTTCAAAGGTGGACGTATTCACTCTTTCTTAAAGTTTTTCTTGTCTGAGAAAACAGTTTTAGTAATGGAATTAGTGGGAGAAAAATCCAGTTTGAACGTACTTACTTCCAAGCTAGTTTGGGTGTTCTTTCCTCATAACTGAAATGTACCCTTTTAAAAACTTTTTTTTGTCATAGTTTTTTAAAGTTTATGTTACTTTCTTGTATTTTAAAATAGCCATCTCTTGTTTGTTTTTGTTTTTTTTTTCTACACATTATGTGTCAGCAGGCATCTCTTGATTAGTTTTGTTTTAAATCACGTATTTGTCTAAGATGTAATGTATACAAGGTAAAGGGAGGTAAGAAATAAATGAGATGTAAAAAGAAAAATGATAAACATTTAAAACTAGCAAAGGTGAAAGTATTTTAAAAAGAAGAGGTTTTTTTAAGTGTAAAGTTTATTACATAGCAATGATTATAATAACAAAATTATCTGATAACTGAAAGTAGCATTCTGTTTCTTCAGAGGAGTTCTTTATCACATTGAAAATGAAAAATGGATAATTATCAAATAATTTCTTTCAAATTGCCCATTTTGGGTGACATGTCAATATATGATAGTTAAATTGTTTTAATATAAACTTTTAACTATATCAGGTTTCTTATTGTACTTAGCGCTTTAAATATTAATGAATAATGTATTACAAGCCTTCTCTGGAACATAAGATGGAATAACCTTTTAAAATTTCTTCTTGTTTTACTCCTTGTGTTTGGCAGCATCACAGTTACAGTAAATTTGTGAGCCACCCTACAGAAATTCTCTACAGGCTACTATCAAAAATTGATTGGAATGGGTGGGGGGGTTGTGGAGGAGTGCTTTTAAATGTTATCACCAAGGCTTGTGGTGTTACTACATTCAAAGTGATTTTCATAGGTTATTAAACCCTGAATATTTTCTTACTTTGTGGATAAATGGGGACCACATATTTGATGAGGTATCTTTATTGCTAATATTTTAAGTTTTTTAATATATTTAATAGCTTCCTTTTCCAGCACAGCTGCACATGTGGCACGGTGAGAGAGAGACTTGAGCCACCAGTGTATTGCAAGAAAGCTATTTAATATTCTGCATATTGCTAACCCTTGTCAGTATATTCCCAAGTGCTTTTTAGAAAACTGGTATGAGTGATGAAGGCGACCAACTGATTTAAAGGTCCCATGAAACTGCTGGGTGTGACACTTTCTACTTTTTGACATTGGAGGCAAATATTTACGACTTGTCATCTTGTGTCCTGATGGCCAAAGAACGTGACAGCGAAAACCATTATTTTATTTATTTTTTACTTTGAAAAATAAACAAAATTATCTGATACCTGAAAAGGAATGCTGTGGTTTTTTTTTTTTTTCCTCACTTTTCCTCCCCTCTTTTAAGGAGGAAGGAAAAATGGTCTAAACCACAGAACCCTTTGAGTGGGGCATGGAAAGAGAACTTGTATCTCTCTCTTTAATGGATGTCTGGGTTGGTTCTGGCACTAGATTTAAGGAAATAATAGTGTTTAATAATAGAATGGTAAGATCATTGATGCTATTATGTAATATCCATTGATTTTTTTCTTTTTTTTTTTTTTTTTTACAACAGAAGCAGATGATTTCTTTTTTCTAAGTGCTCATGAAAAGTAATAGCAATCAGAGTCCCTAGAGTTTGCTAGGACTCAGACCTGTGCAGGTTTTGGAACTTTTGTGTGCGCTTCTGCAGTGCACCTGCGTCCTAGCCTCTGGTATCCTGACTGCCAATCTTGTCCCATTTCTGACCACACAGCACCAATTGCTTGAGAATAGCTCCCACATGTGTGGTGGATTTTCATTGTGGACCTGTGCCCACTAAAAATTGAACAGAGGCCATATGCAGTTTAAACCCAGCACTCCAGAGATGGGGGGAGGGCTGGGGCAGGAAACAGTATTAATCCAGTAAGTCCCAAATGCTGTGTCTTCATTTTATCGTTTTGAAGCCTGAGAAAATAAATGCTATCTGTGAAATGATTCTTAAAGGCCTCATTAAGACTTCCCTATTATATCAGTTTCAAAACAGAGCAGTTAAAATGACTTGTCATGCCTCCATTTTAAATTAAAGGGCTTTCCAGTTTTTGTTTTTATTTTCTTGGTGGGGTAGGAAATAGAAAATAAACTATACAGGGGGTCATCCAAAACTTCATGGGAATGTATACTATGAAAACACTATGCATAGATTCCAAAAAATGTTCAGCACCAAAATAAACTTGTACTTTAATTCCAGTTTTCTAGAAACTTTTTGAGGCCCCCTTGTATTTATAGTTTATATTCACACACTGATTTGCCTTATTCTTTAAAGATTACCTAGGTCTTTAGAGTCCTATACTAAAAAAACAACCATACAAAACATACACGAAGTCATAGCTTGTTTGTTTACAGAACATGGTTCTAAAAGTAAAAAAAATATTGAGTAAGCATTTATTTAGTTCAAGGCAGACTGCCCTCAAGAAGCTTACACTCTAGTCATGGGAAACCTGTATTGCCTTCCACTTTGTCCATCATGTCTCCTGATTAAATGCAGTGACCAGTAATATGTGCCAGCCATGTGGTTAACCTTATTAACATATGTGCTTCATCAAATAAGGACTTCTATTCTCCTGCAGATGTTATTCATCAACTTCAGATTTTTTTCCCTTATGACTTTAATCTGATACTGGGAAGTTACGTATCATTCTCTGTGCCTCAATTTCCTCATCTGTGAAACAAGGATGTTAAAGTAGATGATTTATTTGGTCTTATTTCTGAAACTCCATGAGTTTTGACTCATCTGCTTCCATTTTGGGGTTATTGGCTTATTTTCTTTTCAGATTTACTTTGTCATACACATGTAAATCCTTCATACCTGCTTTTGTTTGTTTGTTTTTTTTGCATAATTTCTGCTAAGTGTATTCCTATTTTCGTTATAGCCTGAGATGTTTACAGTGTATTTCTTAGATAGCATTCATCAGAAGCATTTTCCTCCTTATTGAAATGGCTCTGTTTTTCAACAGTGTTGAGTTAATAACTGGGCATATAACCTTGTTTCATTTCCAGGCTCTTTGAGTACTCAATTTGTGTTCAGAGTCTCAATTCCAGAGTTTATTGCTGTCATTTCTTCTAGCCATGTTTTTTCAGATCTTACTGATTCCTTCACTTAAGAGATTTTCTTAGTTCAGGGTCTTAAGTTAATGCTTTCTAAAAATAGCTTTTCTAAAAAAATGCTTGTTTCGATACAACTACATCTTAATTGATTGAATTGTTTCAGTGTAGTTAATAAAATATCTTGCATGTTGCTTGCTCAGATACATATATGATGTGCCAGTTCTCTGTCCTTCCTGGAAAGACCTGTAAACCAGTCTCCCACTTGATGCACAGTAAAATGTAATCTTCTCTTGACATATCCTGTTGGTAACAGTGAAAGAAAGTACTAATGTAAAATTAGATCAAAATTCCTTTGTAGCTAAGAAAATTTGTTACACTCCATTAGCACTATATTTAAATAATAACCTGTCTGTAAGAATGGATATTATCCTTCTATGCTAAGTAATGTGAAAACATTGTATAAACTTTTGAGCCTGATTTTGCAGTTTTTGTGGTTTGCCCTGTAGAATGGCCACTTGTAATACCGTCAAGTGGAGATATTCTTGTGACTAAAAATACTGTAAACAAAATCAAAATAAACTGCTTATACGTCATTTAAAAATGGGCAGTAAAATTCATGGAAATGACTAAAAGTATAAGATTTGGGTCTATTTAAAAAATAATTTTTACTTGGTATTATCACAGTAGTGATTGTAAATAAAGAAAGTAGATTCTAACAGAAAGCATGAAAGTCCCCCCTTCCCCTTGGAAACGCTTCAAAAGGTTTATTTATTTTTGTCATTTATTATATTTTACTTGTTTTGCATCCTTTATTCAGGAAAAGCCTTTGATCCATTTTATATGAATTCATATTATATCGTGCAGTTTTAATGATTAGCAAAGTATATGTAGTGGTCTCCAATCTCAACAACATTCTTTTTAATACTTTTATGTAAGTAATATTTTGGGAGGGGGTCTAAGTATTTATTACTTTATTAAAATGGCATCATTATCTGTCATTTTATAGTGCACAAAAATCATTTGTATTGATAAAGTCTTTCAGATTTTTCAGCCTCAGTGTCTTTTATTGTTAAAAATAATTTCTAAGACCATTAGCAGCACTTGTCCCATATGGAAACATATTAGCTTTCATTGATAAGAATTTTACTGTTAAGAATTTTAGATGATGAGTGATTTTTAAATCATGATAAAAAAAACCTTTTCAGCCTCACGAAAGACCTATTCCTCAGTATATACCACATCATAGAAACAATGATCAGTTTTTAAAATTAAATGGTGAGTAAAACCAGAAATACGTTGGCTGACAGGTTCTCATTCAGTGCTCAGGTTGCCTTGATGTATATAGTAGCTTTATCTACAATGCTGTTTGTGCATATATAACAAAGCTTGCAATCTTTCCTTTATGACATGTTACAGTCCGTTTTTTCTTCTCTTCAAGGTGGTTTAGATTAGAATCCAAACAAGGAAAAAGAGCCAAAAATAGGGGTGAGATAAAGGTCAATATTCAATTTATGAGGAACAATATGACAGCGAGTATGTTTGACTTATCAATGAAAGACAAAACGAGATCTCCTTTTGCAAAATTGAAAGATAAGATGAAAGGTAGAAAGAATGATGGAACATTTTCTGATACGTCTTCTGCAATCATTCCAAGTACTCACATGCCTGATGCCAGTACTGAATTTTCAAGTGGTGAAGTACAGATGAAATCCAAACCAAAAAAGCCTTTTCTTTTGGGTCCTCAGCGACTCTCTTCAGCGCATTCAATGTCTGATTTAACTGGATTGCACATGTATTCTGAGAAACTGAAGCCTGGTACCATGGGTCAAGCACATCTTCTCGGACGCCAAATAGAGTCCTTTGGAACAGTTCCAGAGAGTGGTGAGTGGCTCATTTTTAGCTAATTGCACTCTCAGTGGTCTGAACTATCCTTGTAGTTTCTAAAGTTTCACTTCCAAATTTAGAAAATAAAAACTGCAGTCATTTGGATAACATTTTCTAAATTTAGTCATTCATCAAATATTGACTGAGTACTTACTGTACCCCAGATTGGTAAGTTCATTGAAGGCCAGACATTTGCATCTATATTATTAGATGATAATGAAATGAAACCCAGTCTCCTTTCATGGCCTGGCTTCTTTTTTTCACCATTTTTTTTTTTCCCTGTCTTGAAAGCCTGGAGCATAAATGAATATTCTAATTCATCATGAAGTCTTTAGGAAAAAACAAAAACAAAAAAACTTTTAGATTCAGAAGTAAGAGAATAAATTTAATGCTAATAATGAAAACCAATGTTTGAGAAGCTCTGTCATTTTTATGCCAAGTAAAACCTTTAGTTTTGACATTATAATTTGGTTATTTGATTAATTGTGAGTTGAGTAACTAATTGTCAAGCAATACACTAATTGTTATTAGCCTATATACTTCACTTGCTGTACCTTAGCATTTTAAGATTGTTTTCCTTGATTATTTTTAAGGTTAATACCTTTTAATAGCTAATTGCTCTCATTCTAAATGCAGCAGAATGCACCACAAAACATGTCAAATAGTGTGATGTCATGTGTCACTGATTATACACTAACGACAAAATTGTTTGTAGGAAGTCTCAAATCTCCACACAGAAGAACATTAAGCTTTGATACTTCTAAAATGAACCAACCTGACAGCATTGTGGATGAAGGTGAATCATGTTTTGGAAGACAAAATGACCCATTTACAAATGTGACTGCTTCATTACCCCAAAAATTTGCAACACTGCCAAGGAAGAAAAATCCATTTGAAGAAAGCAGTGAATCATGGGACAGCAGTGTGAATTTATTTTCAAAACCAATTGAAGTAAGAAAAGAAAATAAAAGAGAGAAAAGGGAGAAAGTTAGCTTGTTTGAAAGAGTAACTGGAAAAAAAGATAGCAGAAGATCTGATAAACTTAACAATGGGGGATCTGATAGCCCTTGTGACTTGAAATCACCTAATGCATTTAGTGAAAATCGTCAGGACTATTTTGATTATGAGTCAACTAATCCGTTTACAACAAAATTCAGGGCTTCAAATATAATGCCATCTTCAAGGTAAGCTTAATATGGAAGAAATTGTATTATTTGGGAAAATCTTATACTTGAAAGTATCAAGTATCATTTTTAAACTTTGGATATTTTATATTTTATTTAACTTGAAAAATAATCTTATTTTTATAATTAATTATAGAGCTAGGCAATATTGCATATGGCTTTGAAATTAAACATTTTGTATTAGAAGGATAAAAGATTCTTATTTGCTACTCTAGTCAGCTTCTACTTAATGTGTGCCAGAAACACCAACACTTACAGAGAAAGCAGGTTGGCTTTTGATGGGACATGGTGAGAGTGAATTACTAATGTGTGTTAAGTCAGGTGATGTGTTTTTGGATATTTTCCAGGGCTTGATTCATGGCTATCTGGAGAGGATTAGTGGACCAATAGCAGCCCATGGACTATTCTTTAAAAAATATTGGCTTAAGTTTAATATATATTATTGGTTTTCATAATAGATATGAATTGGCCTTATTAAGTAGCTGTTTGGAAGTAATATTAATTTGCAAATGTTTACTGTAATTCAGCAACTCTTGTGGGTACTATAAATACATGAATGGGATTTATATGATCATTTATAGTTATAGAAATCATTGTGATAAAGATTAGCTTTTCACACTCTGAGTTCTCAGTTATATATGTCAATAGTACTTTTTTTATTCCTAATAGAAGTTGGAACTATATTAATTTAAATGTGATTATGGATTTTGTATCAGTGAATGATGGAATAGCTGATTAGGGAAATATAAAGCAAAGAATAAGATGAATTTATTGAAATCTTAAGTAATTTTCATGGAAAAACATAGTAGAATGTTTGCCAGCTAACAGAAGTTTTTCTTTGAGGCAATAATATATAGACCTGAATGGGAATCCTGGCTTGATAGTGTAGTGCTATGACCTTTAAAACCTTAGATCTCCATGTTTAAAACAAGGCAGATTGTTATTATGTGGTAAGATTTGGTGAGGGGGGGGTAAATGATATTCATACAAAGAACACAGTACAGGGCCAGCTCCATTTCACAGTGGTAATAGGCTGCTCAAAGAGAAGCTGGATTCCACATGGTGACCATGGTTTGTATCTCTGGACTGGTAGGTCTGAAACACACACTGAGCATGTGCGTTAGTACCTAGAATCTTAAGGAAGGCCATCACTGTGTGACCAGACTCTATGGGGGGTGCTCATTGATGTGTGCTCATGCTCTGTCTCTCTCTCTTTCTCTCTCTCTCTCACACACACACACACACACACACACACACACACACACACATACATACTCTTGCATGGGCACACACACTATCGTGAATGAAGAAAATAAAATTTAAAAAAAGAAGGGAAAGAAAATATATAATACAAAGCCAAGCCCCAAATCGGAAATCATAAATGGCAACTGCTCTTGTGTTTTATATTTTGTTGTGGTATATTATTTTCAGAAACAGTGCTTTATTTTGACCCACTATAAATAAAAAGTATAAGTATTAACAATCACTGTTGTAGGTTGTGTTCTTCTACCTCTCTCATATATTTTCTATGATGTTTAAAAATGGATTTAAAATTTTCAAAGGGACTATACATTTTGATTTTTTTAATCAATGATGGATATTTGCTGTGGTTTTAGAAAGTATTCAGTTTTGTTTACAGACTCTACCCAAAGAAATACATTTTTATCATATAGTATCTATACTTTACTGAAAAATTCAGTTTTTATATGCTAAACCAAAAATTGTTTTTGTATTTTACATAGTGTATATATTGCATTAAATACTAAGTTACAGTGGTAAATAGAAGTACATTTCTTTTTATTTATTTATTTAACTTATTCATTCATTCATTTTTTAAAAATTTGACTAGAGAGAGAGAGAGAGAGAAGGTGAGAGAGCAAGCCACCAGGTCCAGGGTTTGAACCGTGGTCAACCATGTGGGAGCACCCAGCGCCTTAACCACCATGCCACCTGCTGGTCCCAATAGAAATATATTTCTGATTCTATCATATTACAGATCATTTTTTACAAAAGATTGTTGAGAGCAATTGTCTGAGATAATGTAGAGGCTGAGTATTTTAAACAATTTTAGAATTAAACAAAAGCAAAAAAAGGAAAATGTTTTTAAATTATGGCAGCATATGGAAAACTATGTTTCCTTGATGTTTAATTGCTTTATACTTGGGCTGTTACATTTACTGCCATGGGTTTTAAGACTGAGTGTTACATTTTGACAGATTTAGGCTTTGATTTGGGTTATTTCATTATTGCCGTTTCTGGCAAAATTATAGCTATTTCATGATATTTGTATGAAATAATAGCAAGTATGTGAAAAAAAATAGTTGTTTTTACAATAGAGTATAAGACTTTCTGTTCTTCATATTTATGAGATGCCAGATGAGGACCGAAAATTTGTGTGTTTCTGGGAAGTTACTCTTTTCATTTCACAAGCCATCTTTAGAGCAAATAGAAAACATTTTGAATAAATAGGTAGGTCTAATTAATTGTATTGAAAATAAAGACTGAATGTAGATAGGCATAGGAAGAGAGTGCCAATACTTCACTCAGTTACCTGGGATATTTTCAATTCCTCACATAACATTCAAACCAAATGCACTTTTGAAGATAAAGACTCACATCACTAGGACACACGTTAAGAATTACTTTTTCTGGTAGTACTAAATACCGCTATTTACCGAGCCTCCTCAACTCCTTGACCAGTGTTTGTGAGAATGCTGAGCAAAGTTAAGGATAAAACATGCAGCTATGAAACTGGATTTTGTTCTTGTCATAGGTACACAGAAATCATAATATCACCCCGTGATAATGATGTATGAGTGAATATATAATTAAAACTGGAGAATTTTCTTTATGCCAATTTTTTTTTTTTTTGAGAGATTTTCACTGTAGAGCACGTGTGCTCGCCAGACAAACAGAGAGAGAGACATAGAGACAGAAAGCGAGAAATCACCCCCCAGGGGGGATGGTCACGCCGCAATCCCTTCTCCTCCATTCTCCTCTCGGGATCTTGGGCACGCACGCACACGCGCCCGGCGTGAGTTTTTTAAGCCACCGGGTCCGGGACACGAACCGCGGTCGACTACGTGGGAGTCCAGCGACATAGCCATTACGCTAACTGCTGGTTCCCCAAAATTTTCAACTGTATTAAGGAACACTCTTTTACAAGTTAGCTTTATTTCTTAGTGTAAGTAACGTCTATCGGAAGAAATCGTCTTGGATATCGCAAGATAAAAAAGTGGTGAGTTTTGCTTCTGTGCTTGTGATAAGTTCCAGAGTTGTGCATAAATCTGACAGAGGAAATTAGGCTTTATGTCAGGTTTCTTGGACGAAGGCTCTTTGAAACAGTTCTCCCCCAAATTACTAAGTGGAAGTCTCTTT